ATAAGGGAAGATGTTTTAAAAGGGGGAAAAAAAAAGGTGGGGGGGAAGCTATAATGTCTCTCTTTATCTATGAAATGTAGAAAATGGAGACTTAAGAAACTTTGACACTTTGTGCTGTTATTCTGAGAGTGCTGGTAGGAGTTGTGTGGAGCTGTGCTGAGCTGGAGGAAGTGAAGCAATGTCTGTGCAACTGGCTTGAAGTCTTGGCCAATCTTCTCCCCTCCTCCCTAATTCTTTTAAATAAAAACTGGTCAAGTAGTTAGCGAACTAATTAAAGACCTGATAGAGCAAAGATCTTGTATAATTTAGAATTACAGATGGGGAATGCAGCCTTTATATTGACACCAGTGCCATGTTACCCTGCTGTTTAGTTCATAGCCTGCATCCTTTGCAAGATAAATTGTGTAACAGAAACACAGGGAAAACTGTTCCAGAGGAAGAAATGTAGGCTGACTGTGTATGTCCATACTGTGTTCACAGGTGTGACTGCAGTTTGTTCTAAATAAGATTGTTCCAGTGTTTATGACAATGTAACCCTTGTAGAATGGTGTTTTAAACTTATGAATGCGCAGCTACTCTGTATTAAATATTGTGCTGTGTTGGCTCCATTATTTTCAATACCCAGCTTCATTAATCCATAATTAACCTGCAAATGCAGTTAATGTAAATGCTTTGTCTTCGACTGCGATGTGGAGGAAGACGCTATATCTGCACCAAGCAGAGCGCGGCCTCGTCGGGGCCATCAGTGTGATGTGGCCTTTCCTGGCAGCGACACTGAAGCATCTTCTTCCCTGTGCCCAGGGTTGCAGTGTTAGTGTCAGAAGATGGACACGCGGGTGAAGTGTTTTCCTCTCTATCTGTATGGTAAATGGGTTATTTTCTCTGGCTAGCCAGAGCAGAGGCAATGGGCTGTGCTCACAGCTGTGGTCTATAGTTGTGGGTTTTTTTTTTTTGCTTTGTTTTGTTTTTAAACCTTGTTATGGGAAACTAAGCATTTCTTGTACACCAGCAAACATTTCCTGTTGCAAAATGCTTTGTGCATTTGAAGTAATTAAATCTTTAATCTCTGTAATCAAGAAGTGAGTTGTCATTCTGCCTCTGACACCTTAATTTCTGTGTGGGTATTGGACAGATGCAATGATTTGCTAAAGGTATAGGCATCTAACCACTTTTGATAAGAGATTTAAAGAAAAAGTTGTCGGGTGTGGCAAGCACTAAGGATAAGTTAACAGCGAGGCTGATGACAACCCAAGATCATATCATTTCTGTTTATTTGCACAGAAAACAAGAGTGAGGCCAAAAGGAGACGGACAGAGAGAGTTAAGCGAGAGAAGATAAATTCTGCGGTAAATAAGGACTTAGAAAACCGAAAGAGATCAAGGTCTAACAGCCATTCAGATCATAGCAGGCGAGGAAGAGGAAGACCTAAGAGCGCCTCAGCCAAAAAGCACGAGGAAGAAAGAGGTATGAGAACTGGAGAAAAACGTTCTTTTTTTCTTCTTTCTTTCTTTTTTCTTTCATGTTGTCAAGCTTTATACTATTCAAGTAATTTAATTTTTTTTCTTTCTTTTCAAAGAGGAGTTAAATTTGGTTTCCCTGTGATTTCTGGGTGACAAGTGTTCTACTATGGTAGAAATATGCATACAATATCTGATGTCCTCATTGTTGCATATGGGGGTATTTAACATCACAGAATGCAGAGCTTTCCTCTTTGTTCCTGTTAATGTCTTTATATGCACCTATTCAATCATTTCTAGGCTTTTTAGTGTCAGTCTAGCTTTGGCTTGAAAATTCCTGCAGGATTTTTGGGCTGCCCTATAAAATAAACCTTCTTCTGAGAAAGAGGTAGGCAACCTTCCAGGCAAGGAAAAGAGAAGATCTCCCTGTTTTAATGTGTGGTTTTTAGTCCTTGAAAAACAAAAATTGGAAAGCATGAGTGATACTTAGAAAGATTGTTTTCCTACTCCAAAATAGACTGGTTTTCACCTCCTGTCACACATTCCAAGGCATGTCTATGTGCCAGTGCTCTGAGGTAGAAAACTGGAAGTGCAGCTGTAATGTGGTCCTTGGATAGGTGTGGGGTGGTTGGTTCCGTTGGTTTGGTGTTTCGGGGAGGAGTCTTGGTGGTTATTTTGTATGTGTTTTGTTTTGTTTGTATTTTTTCCTCTTGATTCTCTGAAGATTGCCTGCATCTTCTTGGCTGCCCTTCTGGTCTTAGGACTATTGCTGTCTTTTCCTCACCTTTCTCAGCAGAAATGGTACAGAATTGGGTTTGTGGCCATTTGTAGTGCATTTGTTCCCAACCAGGGTAGCTCACCTTGCTGGTTACAAATAAGTTGGTTTAGGGTGCGTTTCTTTGTCTTATTCAGTTTCTGTCGATCTCTGTGTGTGCAGACAACTGTTCTGGTTCTTAGGTAGATTTAGAAAAACAAGATGTGTGTGGGTGAATGTGTGCGTATGTATGGCTGTCTTCCTTACAAAATGAGTTTGTTTTTACAGCCGATTACTGTAAAACAACTCAACAATTAACACTGATTTCTCTTTTTATGTGGTTTATAAAATTGGCTGAACTTCTGTGTGTGAAGTAATTAGTACTGACTTCTAGAAATATTCTTTGGCAAACCTGTTCCTTGATAGTGTTATGTAAAAACATGCTAAGCAACTTTAATACTTCTACTCTCGTTAAGTCACAAAATGCATTTGTGACTTATGTTGCTAGTCCTTGCATCAGCCCACATAATACTGAGAATTAACTCCTGTTTGCAAAGCATTTGTTTAATGCTAGACTTTATTTTCTTGCCTATTTTATATTTCTGGAATGTTTTGGTGGCTTCTTCCTTGCCACTAGATTTTTGTGGCAACTTAAATCCTTTTTCTTCCCACAAGGAAGAGGACAATGCTTGCAACTTATTAAACATTTGTTTCCTGGTGCCTTTTAGGCTTCTGCAATGCATGATCCATTTGTAGATGAATGACAGATGGGCAGAAAATGCTTGAATTACAGTAGCACACAAGCCAAGAAAACACATCCATTTGTAGACTCCACAGCAGTGAAAACTTCTTTCCCAAAGATACTCCTTCCCATGACATGTAGTTTTCCTTCACTGCCTGTGCCGTGCTCTTTTTCATACAGAGTGCAGCCTGTTCCCAGTTATTTCTGTGCCTTTGAGTAGTTCTTTGGTGTCTTTCATGGCTGGTTCACATTAGAGTGAAAAACTGCAGGATTCAACAATGGTGAAGAAGAATGGAGGGAAGAAAAAGGGCTTTCCAAAATAAACTCTTTTTGCCACAGGGTTAGTAAAGAGAGATGTCTTGGAGGAGGAAAGTGGAAGCTGATGTAGATCAAGAGGGTATAGCAGAGTGCTGGGACCCCCACAAGAGCCAACTGTACTGTGCTACGAGGTGGTGTGACAGCCCTGGAAAACAGGGGCTTGTTCCTGCAGGTTTGGATTTGGTCAGGAATTGTCACTTTTTTCTTATCACAAATTCTACAGCTTATTTAGCTTATTTTGAGGAATATGGAAATGCTTCATTGTAGTCTTGTTGTGATTTTTGTGTTTTCGTTTTGTTGTACGGGACTACGATGTGTGCTCAGGCTGCTGTATCACCTAGGAAGGAACCTTGACTGTATTACCAAAAAATCCCCTCAGCCCATGTGCTGCGGGGAAGTGCTAGTGGTTGTTTTACTCCTAGAAAAGATTGCCCTTGTGTGACACTCAATAATTAGAGTAGCCTGGAGTTTTAGTAAGCATTTCTTGGGAAGCAGCTGTTTTTCAAGGAAAGGTACTTACTGATACAAAGCATCTTACAAAACAGAAGCACCTCCATCCACCGATTCTATAGTCTTTACTTCATTTAACATCTTGATTACTTAGACTCAAGTCTACTTTTTTTTTTTTACTTTTTTTTTTTTTTTAATAAAGACTTAAAAGCTTTAGTATCCTGATCAAACTTAAGCCAAAGTAATTAAATTCCTTGACCCAATTCTGTCCTTCCCAACAGCCTGTTACTATATTACTCATGCATTTTTCTGGTGCTTTGTACACACTTCAAGTAGCTCACTCTGCAGAACAGTGAATCTAAACACTTTGAATCCATACCAAATGGATGAGCAGAGGGGAATTCATGTGGATTTATATATAGATGACAAGTCTAGGTGGTCTCTGCCAAATGGAAAGAGATCTGGGGAAGCGTGGGACTTTTTCCAGAAAGACTGGATGTTTTCCACCTAAATCGCCTCCCGTTTGTGTAGCAAAAGTCTTTTGTATTTTTAATGTCTTACCAAAATGGTATAGTGCCTTTGTAAGGAAGTGTTTCTCTAATAAGAAAGAAATGAGTCAAAGCTGCTTTCAGAGCAGACTGTGAAGCGGAAGGTTTTAATAGCCCGTGTAGAAACCATGATACCCCGTGAATAGCACATGGTGAAATGTCAGCAGTGCGCGGGCTCTTCCCTGCTCACTGCTGAGCACCGGCGTTGTCCTAAGCATGCATAAAGCTTAGAGCCTGGCTTCATCCTGCATAAAGCTTAGAGCCTGGCTTCATCCTCCACGCTGTGTGATCCCAGGAACGTGTGATAGTTTCAGCTGACCCTTCAGAGCTCAGAAGTAGCTGTTAATTTGGGAGGGAGGAAGGGAAACCTGGGATAATTTCTTTGGCTATTGAGTGATTTGTTAACTGCCTGGCAGGGAGAGGGAAGGGAAGGGAAATACATTTGACCTCTAGGGAGAATGGCCATTAGTGAAATTCTAATATCAAAAAAAAAAACTTTATTCAGCCAAAAGTTGTGTTGTTGAGGCTTAGCAATGCTTTTCTGAAGATGCTGACACAAAAGGGGAAAAACAAAAAAAGGAAGATGTCAGATATGCAAACCACAAGGGCTTGTGCAGAGCAGCTAGTGTGAACGGTGCCAAATCCACTTCCTGAGCTGTTAGTTTGTGAATGGTGTTGTGGGAGGAAGGGGCAGAGTGACCCGTATGGGGACATACGGAAACTGCCCTAAACTACAAGGCAGGGCTTGTGATGAAACTCGTTTTTTAGCCTTCGTTCGAACTCAGCATACTGGAGACTGTGGTCCTACTTAGCCAGAGAACCAGCCAAAATCATACTCGAAATATCCAAAAGGGATTTATATTGCTCTGGTAAGGCAAGTTTATTGTTGCTTTGTCCATAAAAGCTGGTGCATCTGTTCTGTGTCCCTTATGCACTAAGCCATTTTCTTTGCAGTAAAGATACATTTGTAAGTGACTGAAGTTGTCAGGAATTTTTTTTTAAACATAAGATTTTTTTCGATCAGGAGAATTAAGCTCTAGATCAGTATTAAAGAAGTGGTGATTTTTTTTTTCAGTTTCTCTCTGCATATTTGTTTAACATGAGCACTGACTGTTTGTTCTAACAGAATTTGTTGGAATGGTGATTTTAGTTGTAGAGCTGGTAGGAAACAAGTTGGGAGCCTAACCTAAAACCAGTGTGTGTGTGTGGGCCTGTGGGGGAGTAGCCGTGTGGTTAGGAAGGGAACGAAGGGGAAGAATTCTTTTCCATGTGGTGTATTTTATAAGGAGTTGTTCTCAATTTTACCATTTCTGTAAGGACTTGGTTCATCCTTGCAAAATGTCTCAGAGGAACATTGTGTCCTTTGTCACTGCTTTTCTCTGCCCTCCTAGATGTTATTCTACAGGTTGTACTGGGTCAGAGATGAGTGACCTGTGTCCTGCTGACTGAACCTGCTCACTCACTCGTGCTGATTCTCGTTACTTGCCCATCATCAACTTAGATTTCCTGGTGGAGCAGTCAGAAAGTGTGTGTGTGTGTGTGTGTGT